GATTCTAGGTCCTTTGAGGGACGTGGCTGTGAATTGTACCGAATGACCCTCGAAATGCTTATTTCTGTCCAAAACCCATACAAATATGGAACACAAAGAGCGTGCTCCATATTATATGGAGTTTTCAACCGGGATAGCCATTTCGAAGATCATTCAGTGCGTTCACAGCCCTGCCCTTCATTACTTAAAACCTTCTGGTTTCTGAGATAAATGTCCACGAACTTGAGCAGACATTTTCGTGAAGACTACTTCAAAGTCATCAAGGCATGCATGACGCCATGGCGTCACGTGAATGCTGTCACCGCATTAGCTATGTGGTGCTCAAGGCCAACATGGATGTGATCGTCCAGTTAATCATCTCCGGCGTAGGGCAGCACGAGTTCTGATGCCGATGGACTTCAACTGGCTTTGACTCAGCTGACTCGTTCAGTCTAAGGCTTGACGGGGGTTACGCTGTCTGCTATAATCCAGGAATGGACAATGGTGCGCACTTGGACGGAAATATGACTGAGAATCGAATAGCTGAACAGTGACGTCATAATCGAGGATGTAAATGCAACTGCACAAAATGAAATCACGGATTTATATGGAAGAACACACGAAAAAGCCAAGACATGCGCACATCACAAAATTTGGGATCTGGAAATTTTACTCCGATCAACACGACATCTCGAGAAGTTGAAGTACTGCAAGCGAGTCTGCCCACCGGCTACGATGGAAATTCCGCACGGTCGGTTTGGCAGCCCTTCTGACGTCGTACAAACCTTCTATGTCGAAATCAAACGATGACATATTCAGGATCATATTTGCTGAGCAGTGAGAATTTGTTGTCTCGAGCAGTTTTTACACGTGTCACATGTGTATACCAAGTATACCAGTGCTTGCAAACGAGCTTATTTCATCATATCTGATGCTTGCGGCATTATCTCCAAACATGTAATATTCTCTTTAAGTCCCGATTATAAAGATAAATATAATTGGGGTATGATATGATTGTTTGATATCCTTGGGCGCAAAATGAACTCGCACGTCAGCGCGTCGTCCTAAGGCCTCAGTGATATTAATTATAACGCTTCAAATGCCTTCGAAGGAGAGAAGTTCTCCAAAACCGTAAAACATTCACCACGCAACTGAAACTAGGGATTAGGTTATTCGAGGCGACAGGATGGCGTTGATTTGCGCCCGGAGGTGTGCGATACGTGGGACGCGTGCTCCCGGAATCGTTAGTCACGAAATTTTTCCAAAAAAAGTCACATTTTCGCGCTTCTGATTCAATGTTATTCAGAATTTGCAGTTTTAAGATCTGTGCATATCCACTTATGTACATTCGTGCTGAGACCAGCACTTCCTAACGGACGGGCACAACGAAAACTGGGACGCGTACCAGCGTTCGCTAGCTCGGCGGCTTATCCTACTCACATCCGTAGTTACTCACGGACTAATCCTGTCCGCCGCCCCCCCCCCCCCCCCCCCCCCCCCCACCGCCCAGACCAAATTGTTCCCTACGCCAACGCCCTGCCCTCACAAACCTGAAGATCGTTCTTTCCGCCCCTAGGGAAAAGGCGCTCGGAGGCCTCTGAAATGACAGAAGCACTTCCCCACTACGCCTCACCAGTTGCGCCGTGACGAAAATCCGACGACTGCTTTTAAGGCTGACGCATGTTTTGATTTGAGAATGTCTCCAGACATCACGATTTTAATTAGCAGTGCTGCTGTTTATCACATCAAATGTAAGGTGGTTTTTATAAAGTTCTTGAAAACCAACTCAAACGCCATTTGAAGGAAGCAGAAAAAGAGGCAAACTGCAACGCGTAAACGGTCAGCTGCCCAGTCAATTTTCGGGTGCTGTGCGGGTTGTGTGCATGAATCAGCGGGCAAAAGGTACGTAAAAGCCATGTACCTGGATGTCATGTCAGTATCGTCACGCAGTATCGATTATCCAAGCAGGCACAAAAGGTTTGCTACCTCGCGTGGTGGTGGGGCATTTTCCAGTTGACGTCCCGGGTTTCGCCGGCAGACCATCGTGCAACCAGTAGCAAACATGCCAACGAGGTGTTTGTGGCAGACAGAATCCTGCTCCATAAAAGATGCGTGACTGCCCCATTTATGGCGGATTTCGTTAACCTGACTAATCCCCAAATGATTGGGCATCAGGTTTGACCGGTTTCTGTGATGTTACAACTTCGTATGTCGTGGGACACGCCATGATGTCCTTAAAAGTCCAATTCAATCATTTGCACCCAAAACAATTTGATAGGCTGCTCCAGATTTAAAGATGTGCCCCACCTCCGCCCAACTAAATTCGTCAAAATCTGTCATCGTCATCAAATCATCGTCATCGTCGTCATCGTCGTCAAAATCAGGCCTGTGTTTCCAGGCCTGCCTGCATGGGTGTCGCACTGAATAGAATGGCTTGAATTAACTGCATTCAGTGCGCAAACCGTACAATATTGGCACCAGAACATGCACTGTACACTCATGAACACCTCTAGCACTTTTATTTACCGTTATGTGCCTATGGGGAGGGACGCTGTCGCCCTGTAAATCCGCTCTTACCCCCCAAGATTTCGCAATGTATAGACAGTTGCAGCATTGCAGCAGAGTGGCGTCAGAATTAGGTGTTGTTTCAGTGCGAATCAAGATGTCGTGGATGGGGACTGGTGGTGCCGGTGGCGATGGGCCCTGGGAAGACGGCTACGAGTGTTCGTGGGAAGCTGCTGCAACCAACGTGACGACGCGGGGACATAGGTAATGGCCAGGCTAGTACTGTAAGGTGATGTTCACCATCGGTCTCACATGGCGATGCATGATACAGCCATGGAATGCAATATATTCCCATGTACATGTCCGAGTTATTAACACTAGCCTAACAAGGACCCCATGAGTTTTTCTCATATACCCGAACACCGTCCAATGCCCACTCAAAAGAAAAACAAGGGAGGTATGTCCGGAAAATCACAGGCTTTGACATAGCTCAAACTGTTGTACATTCTATGTAATTTGGCAACCGCCAACCGGCTGCAGTTCTGCCATGCTGTGCGTAGGCCTCAATAAAATAGGGTGTGGCCCGATGATTTTGACCTGTGGCCTATGCTACATTTGGTCTCCATGACCTAATTTGGCACTGCTCATGTGACGCACACCGGTGGGTTCTTATTAGTAAATGATGCAATGTGTGCGGGGCTTTATGTAAAGCGTGTTCCTCAAATGACATAGTATTTGTAAGTCGTAGATGAATGAGAGGTCTGAATCCATTATCTCACCCGGATGCAGTGCGCTAAGTTTTACAAAGCCGTTCGTCTAAATTAGAAAGCGAAAGTTTCCACTCCCTACGGTTGAAAAAGTTTCCACACCCAAGTATTACATCGACGTCACCAAAAACGGCCAAAAGCAGTGATCCTAGATGGAAAATTTATTTGGCTGGCGTCGTGTTTGAAGCGATATGATCATATGGGTGGTTGAAATTGCAGAGAAGTAATCCGCACTTAAAACGGTTATCAGTCAGTCTCCGCGTCAAAACTTATCAGTCTGAGAGATAAAACAATACAACAACGGAAAGGGATAAGGGGTAAAAAAACATAAACGCGCGCACGCATAAACAGTATGAGACAACCCCATCTCGCAGAAAAGGACCTGGCGGCGTGGTTAAAACTTGTTGAATGCAGATGTCTAACATCCACAGGCAACTCATTAATGAGAGACGCCGCTCGATACGCAAAGGACCGCTGTCCTGCCGCCGTGCGCACCGTCGGGGGAGGGGCGCAGGTTATGCTACATGCGGGTAGTTGGTCGCTGGTCCGCGTGTCAGCGTATGTTTCAAACAAACATGCAAGACCTGCAGGCTCGCCTCGCTCACGGGCTTTGTGCGCAGCTGTAACAGTTTGCACGTCACACATTTGGCGTAGGATTTATATCTAAGTATATACGTGTGCTGACATGTGGTACGTGTTCCGCAATTCTATATTAGATTATGTGTTAAAAAATTTTGCACCCATGCACCACCAGTAAAATGCTTCCATGCTGTCAAACAACGCTTTGGGTTCTTATGCAAGTGGAAGCAAGCTAAGCAGGCCGGATTTTCAGTAAGCGCGCAGACCTTCATTTGCTGCATACAAATAGTTGGCCCCGAGACTTTCGAATGACTGTGATTCATAAGCTGAATAATGTCTGTCCGATGATTTTGATGCTCCGTTCCTATGTTGGTTCCGAAGTCCCAGAGCGGGCGCATTGCACGACCCAACTGACATGGACGAATTACCTGGTAACAAGCCAACGAGGGTCAACCCGGGCAGACACGCAGCAGCACGGTGCGGCACTTAGACCCTTTCGCATTGTCTGGCGAAATGGTGGGGCGACGTCAGTTCAAACAGACAGCTCATTTTAAATAGCGCGCTCAGGGTTTACGCTGTGGGCTTTGAATTGCCAAATGCTTTGAACCGAAGGGCACTCAGGCAAGCTAGGGTGGGATTTTTCTGATTACCTTGGAAAACTTTCCGTCGTATTTCTACAGGACGAATTCACGCATTCTGCCAAACTTTATGCGCAGAAAGGTAATGATATCACAGCAAGGCTGCTTTGGCTGATAATTTTGTTTTTGTTTTAGTAGTAGTAATTTGCAGAAGTTTACGTAAGTCATGATATATGTCAATTCGCTAGAAGAATAAACTTTTTACTGCCCAACTTCCACATGTTTTCTCAATATGACTAGGTCATTACTTTCGTTATGCTTTGTGTTCGCGCTTTGTTCAAGGTAAATGGTGATTTGGATGCATATTTCACAGTCCACAGGATTTTAACACGAATTTTAAGTGTTACCGGTGTTATTTCAATTCATCTTCTGATATAGTTTTATAGACGTAGGAAAAAGAAAATTCCCTGACGTACTTATGCTGTCCCATGTTGTTGCCATTAGCGCGCATGAAACTGACCACGGTGCGTTCGAATTATTGACGGCTGGAGCAGAGGTCGCTGCGTTGCTGAAATATATGGGAAAGCGTTGTAGAGAGGACACCCAATGACATTAGTTAAAGTTAGTTAGCGCTGCCGACGCCAGCGGTGGCCCTCACTTCAACCGTCACAGGCTACAGTTGCAACCTATTCACAGAGATGGCGCCACGCGCCAGGTCATGCTGTCGGGCTGATGGAGGTTCATGAAGTACATGACAGGATTATTGCCATGCCTTTTGTCGAAAAGCCTTTGATAGAGGATTGTTTTTAGAGAAAATGGGCCAAGCAGTTATCTGTTTTGCATCATATGCAAAGACTCAGCATCTTCCCCGATGTGTGCTCCTTTAGCGAGGTTCTGTATTCTATTCTGCGCAATAGTTCGGCGAGTATCTGACATAAACATAAACATAACATCTGACATCATAACATCATAAATGCCTGACGTAAACATAAGCATAGTTCCTCAGGGCGGTAAGCGAAGCATGGTGGTACTTTTAAATATGATGCAACTGTGCACCGAAGGCCCACCTTCACGCAAGCAAGATGCAGATAAACACAACTGCCAACAACTCCGTCGTTTGGCAGGCACTGGCGGGTGTGCAAGCTGCTGTTGAAACTATAATCTTCGCCCCGTTCCAGAAATTAATTTCGGTTGTCGTCTTTGGAAGACCCAGCCTTTTAAATTTCAGTGCAGTAAAGCATCGAAGTAGTGGAAGAAGCCTGCTCTTCCTCTTTTGGACTGAATTAAGGGAGAAAACGTTGGCGCGCAGGGAGAGCTAAGGATGACTAGATCACCTTGTCTTTTTCAGGCGTCGAAGGGGCAGAGAGCTCTGCGAACTGTCTCCAGGGACCCAGTCATCGCAGAGAAGAATTCGCAGAGAGAATGAGAGGTGGGTGGCGGTCGTCTGGGTTATGGTGCACAAGATCCCAAGTAGAAGGCAACAGCATCTGGTCATGTGACCTTTCTGGCACGTTAACGCGTTAGGTTACTAGTGGATATCAGTCAAAACGCCCAATTCTCCTCAGCATATTTTGTGCAATTCAGAAACACTAAGTAGCTGAAATGGGTTCCAAAATGACTTGTTACACAATAAAATGATCCCTCGTCATTCCTTGGTTTAAGAGGAGAGAAAAAATCGATAGTCGACACCCTGATGACTTCCACCGCCAAATAAGCACCCAGCTGTATAGTGGTGTGTGGAACGGCTTGACTATCCCACCAGCGAGTGGCAGTAAGGGAAGTTCTTCCGATGAACCTAGCTTGTGGAACTGAGCCACACTTCGTACCAGCACATGCTGGTGCGAAGCGTGAACAGATTACAGAATGGTACAGACTACTGATGCAGACATGCCAGTGCGGGCGGACAACCTCATTCGTAGCATGTGATCGTATATTCTTCGCAAGCTTTTAGCTTGGTCTGGCTGGGAACTTTGGGGTCGTCCCAAATTGTATTGCTTCTCCGTGAAATTCATGGATGTTGCTTGCAATTTGAATATTGTATGTCCTATTGTATTTCCATGGGTTTCACATAAATAGATGTGACAAATTTAAACTCGGACCACGTGCTATCCCCTGCAACTAGTGAAGAGCGGAATATTCCAGTGAAGAAGGCAAATGGTGGAACGGTTCAGTGAATGCCGGAGTTATCCACACTTCCCGGCTTCTATCGGGTTGACTGGCTGAGAGGGGGGGGGGGGGGGGGAGGAGCATTTTCCAGAACAGATCAAACCTTTTGAAAGAACCGCCTGTGCGCATTTTCCACGGAGTTTTGTTCAATGCTTTCGATGTGGTTGCGATTGCAAGGAGACAGCCACAGACAGCCGGCACGGGTCTGGTCTCCTCTGTCGACGGAGCGTGGAGGGGAGGGGGAGGGGGCACCCGACTGACGGTGTCTGTGCGGTCCAGACAGCGCAGCCTTCATATGGCCTGCACGCTGATGTCGGTGACGAGCCTGACGCCCGGCTGCGGTCCGGACGTGGTGCTGACCCGCTACCAGCGGCTCAGCCAGCTGGTGCGCTACACCGCCTTCCTGGAGGACGCCACCAGCGCGCTCGTCAAAGGTAGGCCGAGCGGCAGAGCCGGCCGGCCGCGGTGCCGCACCAGCGCGCTCGTCAAAGGTAGGCCGCATGACGGGGTCGGCCGACCGCGGCGCCGCACCAGCGCGCTCGTCAAAGGTAGGCCGCACGGCGGGGTCGGCCGACCGCGGCGCCGCACCAGCGCGCTCGTCAAAGGTAGGCCGCACGGCGGGGTCGGCCGACCGCGGCGCCGCACCAGCGCGCTCGTCAAAGGTAGGCCGCATGGCGGGGTCGGCCGACCGCGGCGCCGCACCAGCGCGCTCGTCAAAGGTAGGCCGCACGGCGGGGTCGGCCGACCGCGGCGCCGCACCAGCGCGCTCGTCAAAGGTAGGCCGCACGGCGGGGTCGGCCGACCGCGGCGCCGCACCAGCGCGCTCGTCAAAGGTAGGCCGCACGGCGGGGTCGGCCGACCGCGGCGCCGCACCAGCGCGCTCGTCAAAGGTAGGCGGCATTCGCCACAAATGTTGCCGGAAAGCAGGGAATATGGGCTGAGAGGCTGTTGCTGCCACATTTGCAGTATCGTGGTTCACCAGCATTCATTTCCAAACACATTGATAGACATGTGGAAACCATTGCTGTTCTTGAAGCTGCTCACGTGTGAACCACGTGAATCTTGAAAGTGACTATTGGGATGCTTAAAACGTTGAACTGCACTTGGTGTTTTTATGCCATTCATTTCATTGTTCGCACCACGTCCTACTGCCTTGATGTCTATTACTTCGATATACATCGTGCAATTCACCAGTAATTAACTCCATGTGAGTCAATGAAACAAGCAGGCAGTATGTGGTTATGAAACCTTTGTTTATGTTAACTGACATATTTACGTGATGAAAATTTGCGATCGATCCATAAGGAAAATCTGTTTTGTCTGGGTGACATGGAATTTAGTGCGGTGCACAGTGGACGTGATATAGAAGTAAATCGTTCATGCCGTTCTGCGCTCGTCTGTGTAAATTGCTTATGCCGGTTGCTGGGGTGGCCTGATGGAGGCTTCGGCCCATGGTGTCTGTTGTTACGTGAAATACTTGGAATGATGTGTGTGTGTTTTTTGCTTGTTTGTTTGCTTGCTTTTGCTGTGTCTGCGCGGTGCAGTTTCAACTCGTCCACCTTGCTTTACCAGCCTTGAAGGGCAGGCTTCGCCTTTTACCGCAACCCGGCAGGGAGACGAAGCCGGTTGTGGCTTCGACTTTGCGGAGCCACAGTGTCCTTCCAATGCCTTCGGGCTTGGGCTCGGCTCCGAGCCATTTTCATGGCTAGTTTCAGCTTTTGGTTCGTTTCGTTTCAGACCGTTGGCCTGGGCTCTGCTATTTTAATGGTTGGTTCCGTCTTTGGCTTCGATTTCGAATGTTTTTTTAAATAATCGTTTCGACGCTGCGTCATGCGATCTCGCACGGTCAAGGTAGATATAGGTACTTTACGTTAAAAGAGAGCATTGTACACAGGTCGTCTTCTCTAAGGTAGAAAATATTGCGAGCAATCTGAAAAAGACATTTTCAATACTTTCTTCGAAATTTCATAATTACGGTAGAGAACACTCAAACTTCAGATGTGTGACACTTTTTTTTGTTTAACTAAAATGTATTCAAGCAATGTTGACGAGCGACATTGAACCATAAGTCAATATGGAGCTCCACAAAGTGGAACCGCTTAGCAACTTGTTAAAACTGGGGTTTGAGACTGAGGGCTTCTGATGACCCGCAATTCCTCCGCGAAAACGGCCTCCTGGGACCAGTAGGCAAAAGGACCAGATTCTAGCCCAGCCTTTTGGAACCGAACTAAACCTTACCTAACTAACCTTACCCAACCTAACCCAATCTAACCCAACCTATCCCAACCTATCCCAACCTATCCCAACCTAATCTGAATTAACTACCCTGGCCAACCTCCCCAACCAACCCCCCTGTTACCCATCGGCCCCTTGGCATTCAATATTATATTTTATGTCATATTCCTACCATATTAAGACATATTTAGCCCCCATGTCAATCAATTGGCAAACAGTACGCAAAAACTTCACTTTGAAAAAACGAACGGTGGTAGATCCGTCGGGACGACCTTGATGTGCGAGCATCGTGCCATCAGTGTGACAGACCAACGTCTGACCGACGCCTGTCGTCGTTATCGTGATTATTATATTTTGAAGGTTAGATGATAAGATGTAGATCGCGAGATGTCCCAAAAATGCCCGTGTTTTAGGACATTGTAGGGTGTTTGATGCATTAAAAATGTCAGTTGATGAACAATGTAGGCTTCCAGCGTAAGGTACCAATATGGACGATGACCTGTTGAACCGCTTGCGTCGGCTTGGTCATGGGATTCTGTCTACAGTTGCCTCTTTTCTCTCGGAAAAATCTCACCCTTCCTGTCACCAGCGTACCACACACCGCTCCGAAACGGCGGTGCATGCATGCCTGAGAGCCCAGCACAGTCGGATCAGTCTCAGGACCAATTGACCACTGACGCCTTCGGAGAGTTGCCTGTCGGCAGCATCGTGTAGACATTGACAAGATGGAAACGTTGTGTAAGGTTTTGCGCAAGGTAATGATAACACCCTGTCGCTCTGCGTAAAATAGCGTCTTGCATGAAATCCTATGACACTTTCTGGTCCCATTCTGTTTTAACAGTCGCGAAAATTGCATTGGTTCCACGAAACAGCGTTATGCATAATAGATAGGGTTCATCATTCTAATCTGAAGTGTTCGCCTACGGTTTCGCGTTTCCTAAGTTGGAAACCGCTGACATTGACTTTGGCCTCATATACATGGATTTCGAAGTCAGTGTCTTAAGATTTCACATTTTAACACGCTTCCGGGTGGCCAGTTGAACGCTATGCGCTCGGTCGCAGGGTGGGGGATCAATTTATCTCCTGTCTTTGAGATATGGAAGCTAAAAAAGCTAGGTGTACCAGATTTACATGCGAGGTCTATGTGAAAATTTGTCAACTTTTAGAGTCTCTTTGTCATTATCATCGGGTCAAATAAGGTCAAGCTTGAGAGGTGTCCGAAGTGCCCTCAGACGTCACACAATCATTTTAATATTTTAACAATTTTATACATGTATGTTTTTAAGCGAAAGGTATTGTGCTCACCTAAGGTCATTAACCTCAGTTGCCCTAGAGAAGCCCAAAATGGCCATGACCCTTCGAGATTATCTTGATCTTTGAATTTGCAAGCCACGTGAACAGCTACCCCAAGCGGCATGTTCCTTAAGGCAAAGGACTTGCAAAAGCTATTTTTTAGCTTAGTCTCCCCTAAAGTTCCTTTAGCCTTGCTTAGCTCCCTTACGCCTGATTAATTCAAGTTAACAGATCAATTGATGTCTTTTTGAGCCGTAGAATTCGAAGAGAGCGTCAAAAACTACCTATGCATTAAAATTGTTTAACGAAAGCAGTCATTTTGACCATGATCTGGCCTTCATACTTAACCCGAGGACGATGAAAGCAGGCGTAATTCTAATCTCAATTATCGTTTTGCATAAGAAACTGCATGAATGTTGTATGACTTCGTCTAACACTCCGTCGTCACATCGACTTTTCATTTTGCCCACATTTTCCCTTCTCTGATAAACATGGCTTGACTTCGACATGCTACAGGACAGCTACATTGTGAGGTATGTTCAATCTTTCATGGCAGAAGGTCGGCTATTCGATTGATTACAGTTAAACGGAGTGTTGTGTGGCTACACTGCGCCTTTCAGATGTTATTCCACACATAAATCAGGAGGGGAGAGGTCAACTTAGCCTTCCCTCCCGAGCGCGTGTTAAAAGTACGACGCCACCAGTTTCGGGGAAAGCCTCATAGCTTCCTCCCTTGAAGCCAGACTTCGGCTTCGAGATCAACTATTTGTTGTTGCCTGGACTTCAGATATGTCACCGAACTCTAGCTGCCAAGATGGCTGACGGGAACCAGGGTGATGTGCCGACTGCCAGGGACGTTCAAGTCTTGCTCTCCAGATTTCCACTGGGGTTGGAGTTGTTATACATTGTTCAAGAAATGCGATGCAATGCTCAAGAGGGCCGCATTTGCTATCGCTGTAAGCGCCAGACCTCCATGATGTTGCCACTGCCACTTGTCAATGCTGCTGCAATGTTTGTGTTCGTACAATGTTTCAATGTTCGGACTTCTTAGTGACTCCAAAACTCACACCGCAAAGCCAATGACAGTGCTGTTTTGCCATAGCAACAAGCTTCGCTGAAATCTTCGTGCACTTCCTGGGTCTTCCGATGGAACCCGTTGCAAATTATTCTGTATTTGACGTGTGGTTTCTGTGGCATTTCGCAAAGCAAACAATTCGCGTCGGATCGTATTTGGCGACGCGAAAGTGTTGAGTTGCTGCCGTTTTGGTAATGTTGATGTATCGACGAGACAGCGCCCAGAATAACAAAAAAAAGCGTGATAAATACACGCAATGAATTGGTGCGCGCAGTGATGTAAATTACATTACGACTCTGGCTGCGGTTACGACGACGGCGTGTTGCATTGTGCACGGTTTTTCGAAATGCCAACGTTGGGCCCATGGGCCTAAAACGGTTCTTCCGCCACGTGCCACGCCCGAAGCCCGGTCCGTAGCGGCTCGCGATCTACCCGTGGAAAACCGCTTCTTGTGCCTGCGTTTCGTGTCCAAATTTCACCATTCAGCGGCCCGCCGTTCGGCCCGTGGACGACGCAGCGCAAAACAGGACAGACAGGCACGCACCCTAACCACATAATATATAGACGAGTAAGACCTGTGGGCTTTTGGTCGATGGCTTGAGTCTCGCGTCGATAATGTGGCACCTACCACCGCCCGAGCTTTTCATGTAGAGCTTTGGCGAATTGCCCCCCCCCCCCCCCCCTTCGCATTCAACCGCCTGGTGGTTGCCGATTGTGATTTATTGGATGTGCTGTGATTGTACGTCAACGAAGAAAACTGTTCTGCAAACGCTGAAAATCACGGTCGTTTAACGCCATAACGTACCCGCTAGGGGTACGTGATCTGTTCCGTTAGCGTAGTTGAACAACTGTTAGCTTGCCTGTGGCTCTTTGTAACTTCTTGTGTCAGACAGTCTGCCGCGAAAAGGCAGCCACACCGGACCGCATACTCCGGACTCCAGACCGTAAATTTGGAGGCAGTGCAAGTAGTGCAAGCGGTGCAAGCCTGGTAGACCAAACTGGAGGTGTGAATAGCGAGCATTTACGCCGTGTCCTGGCTCGTCCTCAGAGGGCCTCCCTCAACGTACACGACGTTTCGCGTTATCCATGTTAGGCAAAATACCTCCACATCTTCGTTACTGCCCATCCTGAACAGCGCAACGAAGAGCTGACCGTTGTTGAAAACAGGGCAGGTAAACACTGATCCGCTTCCTCGCTTGGCCCTGGCACCGGTTGATGGTCGGGGCGAACGCCGCCTTCACCGGAAACTGCGGCCGGTGGAAAGAGAAGCCCAGCCCCGAGTCGGGACCATCCACCGCCATGGGCAGGCGCGGCAGGAGCAGCGTCTCGCCTCTGCCGGGTCCCGTTGCAGAGCGCAGCAGAAGGACGTACACGTCTTCGACACGATGCACAGCGTGCCGTTCACGTCCAAATTGCGCATCAGGGCGACCGGGGCCCCGACCTGCGAAAAGATCAAGTACATGCGAGCACGGATTGCTGTGTTTGGGTCCGTTTAACGGCCTCTCTAACTCCATGGATGTAATGACATGTGAAATGCCTTGCTCCGTTTTTGTGAACGGGTACGTGGCCATTTTTAAAGCGATGTTTCAATGTATTGAAAACGTCGCGCTCCGAAGCACCTCGAACCTCTGTCATGGGTGTAACGCGATTGCAAAAATATATACATGAGGTCGCATTTTGTATTCGTGGCCTCGGGGATGAGCGTTTATTGTTATATGAAAGGCAGTTTTGTTGCAATTTTTCAGTGCAATTTTGTGCCTCACCACTTGAAAAATTAGAATCGATAAAGAATCAAATAATATTCTGGCACAAACTGTACCGTTGCGCGAAAGAGGCTGGCGTAAAAAGGGTTTTGTGTTGCACTTTGATTCGATGACTGCTGTATTCAGTCGACTTGGTTGGAGGACACTCACGCCATTGACGCCATCCGTTTGCTTAAAAGGCAAGAGGAGCTCACCTGGAGTGGCAGCGTGCGTGATGGCAGTCCCGGCATGTCGATGCTGTTCAGCACCTCGGTCGGCACCGGCACCGCGACGCAGTCCGATATGGTGTCCACGCTGTGCTAAGCGTGCACCGCACCCGACGGTCGTGTCATGACGACGGCGCTCACGGCGTCAACGTCGATGTTGAGCGGGGTGAGGATGGCCCGCCTGTGCAGCCAGTCGGCGTCCTGGAAGTGGTGTTCGATGTCCCGGAATGTCCGCGAGCCAGCTCGTGCCCATCGTGGCCGGGCTACACACCTGCTCTGGGACATCTGTGTGGTCGTCATCCGGCTACCAGTTGACGGGTAGCTCACTGTATCCGACGCGCATCAGGAAAGCGGAGAACTCGGAGGCTCGCTGGTCGCTGTACAGGTGCGCTCGCATGTTGGTATGTTGGTATGCAGCTGCATCACAGTGACGTGCGTCCGCGGGGGTGATGACTTAAGGCAGGCGTCGACCACCTGGGAGCGCCCACCGTTCCTCACCACTGGCAAAGTCTGGCGTTAATCTCCACAGAGGATTGTCAGGATGCCTCCAAACGGCTGCCGGAGCTCGCGCAGGGTCCGTTCGACGGCCTCCACCGCTCGCCAGCTCGTCATGGCCACCTCGTCCCAGACGATGAGTTGACACTGCTGAAGACGGTCGGTCTCTGGATAACATTCTGATGCGCCGCAGACACTGTCGCCGGCATGCAGCCCGATGAAGATCCTGAACCTGCGGCCTGCAGTGGTCCCGCTTTCCAGCAGGCAGCCCGCTATGCCTGATGACCAGCAGCACCTCTGGTTTCCGTGTCACACGGCGTCAGTGGCGAGACGCGCCAGCCGCTCCTCTGTCTCTTCTCGGACTCCGGCCTCTGCGCGACGCGCAGTGTCAGTGGCTCTTGAGGCGCAGGTGCATGCGCGTTGTCAACAGCTTTCGAGCAATCCGCTTATCCAGCGCAGAACTTTCTCAGCAGGAGTTTTGTGAGGTGGTCTGGGATACCACTGTCTCGGTCCATGCCTCGGCCCATCACGAGCTGGAGCACGATCCCGAAAGCCTCGACAACGCTCATCCAGGCCGGCGACGGTATCATCAGACCACCCTGGCTAATCGTGTGTATCCAGCTGTCTGGCACACGGCTGGGTGGTGCTTCTCGGGTCGGCAGTCTTATGCTTGGATCGAGGTGTTTGCATTTGGCGGCTACGAAGGCGGCAACGAGGGTCAGCGCCCCATGCTCGATGTTGACCTCGTCCATCTCGTCGCCGCGGCGGGGGCCATTTTTGGTTCTTCCGCCGTCACTGCCATGGAGCTTGTCGTCGCCTGACTCGTTGACCCCATCGTCCTCGCCGACTTCGTTCAGGGTGGGCACTGGAGGCATCGCGGCTGCTTGCTGGGAAGCGGCCTCTACGTCGTCCGTATGCGCTGCTGCTTTGATCTGTGACATAACCAAACACAGTCATTTCCACGTACCGAACAGGCTCATTAATCAGACCCTATTGCAAGCCGCACAGTTTTGTTTCTTATTGTCACAGCAAAACGTGTTGGACCCGGACATGCCCTTTCTTTCGTTGTCGCATGCTTGTTTTTATGCACAGCCACATTGTTTTGTGTGGTTCAGCGTGACATAATCCGAGTGGGTTAGAGGGACGGTCAACGGCCGACGAGTACTGCACCGCGTGCGCCATACTGATATCTACCGCTCCCAGCCATAGCCACGGATCTGCCTGGATAGCCCCGTTTCATGGTCCCATTTCATTGCATGGGCTGTCCGAGGAGGCTGGCACCGTCATCACTGTTTTCCGACGCAAAAATAAGCGATAACAGCAGCACGGCCCTCCGAGCTTCCTGCTCCCCGCCCTCTCCATCAGTCACGGTCTGTTAGGGTTAAGACCTGTGGTTTAAGCACGGCAGCAGTTCTTAGCACGTTATTGTACGTAATCCCGGACTTTGGTGACCAGAAAAATACCTATTATTTGGAATCTCAGACACTACCATGGACAGTAACACGAAGCGCCCAAGAGTGCTTAATAAGTAACAAGACTCGCATATAGCCGAGTGAACGTGTACGCTACGCGACTGAAAGAACTGTTTTAGGCACCAGGGCAAACCAATATCGGTAGCTCATTGATCCGCTCGGTACTACCTATAAGCAGTTGTGGCGTTTGTTAGTTCACAGTGCGTAGGCGCACTGCCAGTGGGGACTCGCTGGTACAAACTTGCCCCCCCCCCGTCGCAAACCCTGGCTGTGCCCCTGACCCTCAACCCCTTCGCCCGTGTAGCATGGATGGTTGTGCCACTATGTGGCAATCAGGCCCCACTTTGTAAACGAGATTATGGTTGGAAAGTCTCATTTGAATATCGTACTGTAGCCGACAAACTGCACAGAGCGGCATAGATTGTGCATGCATTAGTGACTGAATCGGTTTCAGAGGTCTCTGCATAAAATAGTCCGGAATTTTCCTTCACAGCGCACGCATACTCGCTTCGGTGTGCCAGCGATATCTAGTTGCATAGAAGGAATCGCACTTGGTCGAAGGCATGGTTTAACATTGGGCATGAGACGGGCATTAACCAGATGGCCAGGGTCACAGTCATGATCTTGAGAATGATCAGATCATGTTTCCGCATTCTCCACATTCATAGTGTCAGTCCGAGAGCAACGGTGCACCCATGTTTTCAGGGCAGTTGGACCGTTTTTTGGGATTGTAAAAAATGAAATGCCTTTATTTTGCCGGTTAACACTTGCAATAGGCCACTTCACAGGATGGCATCTTGCTGCCAAAAAAGTGCCTTTGATACTCACTCTTGCTCAACGCTAACACACCACTTCGCATTTCTCCCATCCGCGACATAGTAGCACGTACCGAGGTCACATAACAATACAAACTTGATGCCACTCTGCATGATAATAGACAAGGCCGACCACGGCATTTCTGCGTGACTACTGCTTTCCAAGCGACGCAATTGACGTTACCGTGCAGCGCCGCCCGCCCGACCAATTTCTCAAGCTGCGGTGATGGCCCCCTGATATCTGTACGATCGAGACGCATTTGCGTTTTACTTTAGACTATCGTCGAGATTTACCAAAATCAGTTCGAGGGATGGATGATGAGCAGGGAAGAGTGGTAAAATTTACATCAGAGCATGTTAAACATATATCTGCCCGCACTGGATCCAGTTTATCTAAAAAATTAGGGAGACTGGAGCTGGACCAAACGGCATGGGAAACTACGCTGTTGACTTCAATACATCTGTACTTTATACGGGATTTAATAGTTTTGTCATCATCGTGTGGAACATTTCGGCAGGCGGCGACTTTGAAATCATTAATAGGTCACGTCACGTTCAAGACACATTAAATGAAAAATAGTACCAGGGCTCATCGTCGTTTTCGATTTTTTCCTACTAACCTGTCTTGCACGCGACGCTGATACCACTCCTGCTCCTTGAGTTTTCTCGTTCTGGCCGACTGGGGCATCGTGTTGAAAAATAAGCTTCGAAAGGGCTGTTCACATGTCCCGCTATTTATTTATAACAGTGATGCGTATATCGATCCGGCACACAAACGCAAATGCGCAAATGAGGGTTTGAGGCCGTGAACACCAGTTGGAACCGTCCCGATAACGCTCTTCTCAGCAATGTGACGTCACCGGGGGTACACCTTTTACGCCGGGACGGCCGCACGCGTGACAGCGGACATGAGGGATCGCCTGTATCACAGCACGTTTCGTGGGTTGAATGAGTTGGAAGTCCAAAGTAAACATGGATGGATGAAAAAATTTACACTCGTGTCTAATTTTGAAGTTAATTCAAGAACCGAAGTGGTAATATAGGACTCAGGCAGCAAACAATTCGAGGACGACCGGTCGCGTTTTACCCCAAAGAAGCGCTCGGCGTAAGGACTATTTTATGACTCCGGAAGAACCAGATGGACTCAAAACTGCGCCCCGGGTTACCACGAATCCATGGATCTTCTGGGTCCCAGTCAGCACTTGGACTGGGCCCCGGTTGGGCAGATCACCCTGCGGGACCAAATGGTAGCATCAATATAGCCTACGACGGTGCAGCGGAGCGAGCGCGGGCGTATCTTCCGCGTTCCTGACTGAGATATCTGTGGGGCGGTCGGGTACAGCACCACAAGAAGCTTATAAGGCGTTCCAAGCTCGGCTGTGACTTCCGACCCGGACCCGGCGAAGCACATTCGCGTGACTCCACCTAATGGGAACAGTTGAGTCAATACACACTGGGGCGTAGTCATTCACCAGAGCTAAGCCCTGAAAGCCAGTTTCATGATGCAAAGGGTACCACTGGTTTCCTCCACCTTTTCCAGCAAATACTGGATAAGGCTTGCTCGGTCCTTAGACCAAAGGCAGTCTAAGGGCGCGTCCCAATCCTCGTTCATAAGCTTTTGGCTTTTCATATTAAATGCAGCGGATCAATTAAAAACGATACTTCTCGTTTGACTACAGGATGTAGCTATACGACTGCCGACCGTGCGGTGTGATCTCGTAAACGCAGAAGCGGGTTCGCATGTAATCCAGCGGGTCCGTGGTCCCCACCGCCGGTTGCAGCACCCGGAGTGTCGCATGGGTGATGGTCCCGCATCCCGCATCCCGCATCCCGCTGGTCCACGTCACCAGACCGGCTGGATGCTACCGCTACCGGCCAGTTCCGTCAGAGCTGCCGCGCGATCGGCATCGCTAACACCGGCAAGCGTTCCTGGCAACATCAAATGGCAACATCCAGCATTCATAGCATCGACAATGCTTCCAATGCCGTTCGCTTTGGCTGAGTTCATAGCACCCAAGCTTGCAGCGTCCAGAGTCAAACCATGTTCACAACATCCAGCATCCGCGACGTGTAAAATTAGTTTTGATTCCTGCCGTTTAATAGTACTGCATTGGCATATTTATCTCGACTCGTGCCGCTAGGCGACACACCAGTGCCAATTTCTCCCCTTGGCACGTCCGACATAAGCACCGCTACCTCCCGGTCTCAGGTAGGTTGAAGCGGCGCCCGTACTCGGTGGGCGGCCGTCGCTGTGCGCTGATGACGACCATGGCGTCACCATCATCATGACCGTGTTTCACATACGTCCATTTGAAGTTATCTACCAGCAGCAGGATAGCATCCTGACAGGTTAGCCATCACCTCCAGCAGCTCTTCTCATCTCGCCTCGCGGAACGCGTGCTACGACGGGCGTGATTGCGGTATGAATGGCGCGTTCAGCTTCTTCGTTGTATCGTGGCACGAGTTAGGCTTTGCGTGTTTCGGAGCCTCGCTGAGAGTGGCCCGAAAGGCGCATCTGAGATCTGCTCTCCAGGTACGCTGCTCTAGAAGGCGTTGATGGCGGCGCGCCCTGCGTCGGTCCTCCTAGTCCCGCGGTCGGTCGTTCTAGTCGCGCAGATGTCACAGCCTGGCGACCGGGCAGTTTTTCGCGCGCGGTACGGCATATCACAAATCCCGTACGCACATATTCGCACGCAAATATTCATGCTTCCAAAACTTCAAAATCGCAAAAGCTGTGGTCTGCAATGCTTTGCATTGCATGTCTTTGCATGCATGTGTCTTCTCGTCACATATTGTACAGCATTTCTTCGCACCCGTGTTCTTTCGCATCGCGTTCCCTATTATACGTGTTCCCTTCCTATTGCACTTCTTCATGTGTGCTTTTCTTCGTATTGCA